GGGGGGGGGGAGGGTAGAAGAAAGAAGAAAGAGAGGCCGCGGAGGCTGTTGGTCCTTTGACAAGTGAAGCGTTTTTACGTGTGGGAACTTTATTAGGGAGGTGAGGCAGAGGACGAGGGGCAATAAACCCGTAGAGGGGAGAAAAATAATAAGTGACACAGAGAGGCGAGAGTTTGGTACAAAAAAAACAAAACAAAAACAAAAACAAGAACGTGAGGAAATCAACGCGTTTCTGTTGTTGGCAGAGTGAAAAGACCTGCAATAAAATACAATAAATTAAAGATAAATAAATATAAATATAAATAATAAAAATCCAGAAATAGTTCAGATGGAGCTGAGTTAGTTAAACTAGTGATGAGTCAAAGCAGCAGCAGCCGAGTCAGAGTTTATCACTGATATCAACACTGTTGCTGTGATAAAACGTGGAAAATAATGTCAATATAAATAATATGTGTGTGTGTGTGTTTGTGTGTGTGTGTGTGTGTTCGCCCCACGCCTCCAGACATGGCGGGCCCGGACGGTAAACGCGCACGGACGGCGTACACCCGCTACCAGACCCTGGAGCTGGAGAAGGAGTTCCACTTCAACCGGTACCTGACGCGGCGGCGGCGCATCGAGATCGCGCACGCCCTGTGTCTGACCGAGCGGCAGATCAAGATCTGGTTCCAGAACCGCAGGATGAAGTGGAAGAAGGACAACAAACTGAAGAGCATGAACCTGGCCTCGGCCGGCAGCGCCTTCCAGCCTTAGAGGGAAGGAAACAAACAAAATGTCCCCAGAAAATACTCCAAAATCCGTCCAAGAAAACTGCCTCCACAAAAAACTAAAAAAAAAAAGACCGAAATGAAGAATACAGAATAATGGGAGACTGAAGCTGAAGAAGAAGAAAGAAAAAAAAACACACACCACGTGACAATAAAGGGTCACAGATTCCACATGGAGATTTCAAAAACACTTCCTGTCTTCACCTGAGAGTACTGTACAACAGAGCAGCACTTTTCCTTTTGTATGTTCGGCATGTTCTCGGTGTTTTAGTTTAAAATACATACTGTGGTACTTACTGTGGAGGGAAAAGAAGAAGAAGAAGAAGAAGAAGAAAATATAGTGTTCTCACGTGTTGCTGTTCATGTTGTTGTTGTTTTTAATGGTCAGGAGCGGCGGTCGAATATACTACCTAATATGAATACTACCTAAAAAACTTTACTACCTACTACCTGTTGTTCCGGGTCTAAGTGTAAGTGTTGTGTGTGTCCAGTGCGATGTACTTTGACTGATAAAGTGCTTTCTCTAGACAAGGCAGCATGTGAGCTCTTATTGTATAAGTTATTC